GGGGAGAGACATTGTTGAAAATGGTGAAAATGATGAAATTGTGGGTTAAATGGTAAAAATTGTGAAAATGGTGAAATGGTAAAATTATGGTGAAATGGGAAAATAGTGCAGTGGTGAAATGGTGAAATGATGAAATGGTGAAAATGGTGAAAATGTTGAAAATGGTAAAATGGTGAAATGGTTTGGGTTTAAGGCCCCTATTAACACTAATAGTTGTTTATTTAAGGGGCGGGACTTCCGAGTTAAACGTCCATCTCAGAAAGGACCCAGCCAAATACATATTTCTGGTAAAGCGTCTTTCCCAAGGACACAACGTCGGACCGAGCTGAGGATCACGATTACATAGGAAGGTCTTGTGTAACCTAACCACTTGGCCACCGACGATACCGGAAACATTGGACAACAATCAACATAATATTTATCTCCTCCTCCTCCTCCTCCTCCCCTTCCTCCTCCTCCTCTTCCTTCTCCTCCTCCTCCTCCTCCTCCACCTCCTCCTCGTCCTCCTCCTCGTCGTCGTCGTCGTCGTCGTATTTCTCCCCATATTCTCCCGCCCAATCCTCCTCTTCCCCGGCACCTCTTTATTCATCTCGAATTCCTCCTCCTCCTCCTCCTCATATTCCTCCTTCTCTTCTCCCATCCCATTCCCCTCCTTTCCCCAGCACCTCTTTATTTTCCTCTATAACCTTCTCCTTCCTTTTCACCTTCTTTCTTTCTTTCTCTCCCCCCCCCCTCTCTCTCTCTCTCTCTCCCCCCCCCCTCTCTCTCTCTCTCTCCCTCTCTCCCTCTCTTTCTCCCTCTCCCCCCTCTCTCTCTCTCTCTCTCCCTCTCTCTCTCTCTCTCTCTCTCTCTCTCTCTCTCTCTCTCTCTCTCTCTCTCTCTCTCTCTCTCTCGTCTCCATCTATGTTACAGTAGTGTTCATAGAAGCGCCGGCTATCCTTGTAGGTGCTGCTCTTGCTTCTTTCTACTCTGTCAATTCGTTTTTTCTTTCTTGTTTCTTTTTTTCATTTTCTGTTTATGCTTTTTATAACTGTGATTTTTAACCTCAAATTTTCCTTAACTTCTTTCCCCACGTTCAACAGGCGAGGGGCAAACTGTTATATATGCACAGACGTCCTTTATCGGTCAGGGTACATCCTGCAAGTCCGAACCAGTAAGTGGCGCCAATTTTTTTGGTATATTTGTATTTATCTAATTATCTTTTGTTTGTTTGATACTTTTCTTTTATGTTTGTTTGTTTTATTTTTGTTTGTTTGTTTGTTAGTCCTCTCATACTCATATCAGTCAGAGATGTGGGGAAATGAAAACGATTTTTAAAAAAGAAGGAAAGAGAAGGATGTTGCATACCTTTTAAGGAGTCGGCGCTACTGAAAAAAACAAAGAGGTGGGGTTGTGTAAGAGATGAATTCCACGGTTTTTAAAAAATGAGAGGGAGAGGATTTTTTTAAAAGAGGGGAGTGGGGGTGTAGATACGATTAAAAGAATATACTCATTTAAAAGAATAGAGTTACCCCAAAAGAGAGAAGAATAGACACTTCTTCAAGGAGGTAAGAAGGAAAATGTTAAGGTTAATATATTGTAGTACATTATTGTACTTGTAGCAAATTAATATATAAGGACCAAGAGGACTGACTGATTTCATTGTTCTAATCAATAATTTGTGAAAGTGCATTGCGTTGATAGATAAGTATCTCTCTCTCTCTCTCTCTCTCTCTCTCTCTCTCTCTCTCTCTCTCTCTCTCTCTCTCTCTCTCTCTCTCACACACACACACACACACACATACACTCACATACACACACACACCGACGTCCCCTTCCCCCAACCCACTCAGAGACATACCCATGCACACTCACATATACCCCGCCCCCTTGGACACACACACACACACACACACACACACACACACACACACACACACACACACACACACACACACACACGTACGCACTCATACACCCCCCCCCATCCCCCACACACACACCGACACACATCCACACACACATGCACATACACACAGATTCCCTCTCCCACTCACAGATTTACCCTCATACACTCACACATATCCCTCCCCTTACTCACCCCCCCCCCACACACACACAAACACACACGCACTCACACGCATGAATTCCTTGTTCCAGGTGGTTGTAAATCAGACGGAGACATCAGCAAATGCCCCGGCATGACCAAATTGCCCGGTATCTATGAGGTCTACACCATGTTCAGTGAGTCACAGAAATACTTTACAGGCCGCAGGGGCAAATATCATCATCATCATCATCATCATCATCGTCATCGTCATCATCATCATCATCATCATCATCATCATCATCATCATCATCATCATCATTATTTTTTATCATTCTTCTTCTTCTTCTTCTTCTTCTTCTTCTTCTTCTTCTTCTTCTTCTTCTTGATAATAATATTATTATTAATGCTACTACTATTATTATTATTATTATTATTATTATTGTTACATGTATTATCACCATCATTATTATTATCATCATTATCATTACTATTATAAAATCATTATTATTATTGTTGTTTTAATCATTATTATTATCATTATTATTATTATTATCATTATTATTATTATTATTATTATTATTATTATTATTATTATTATTATTATTATTACTTTTATCATGATGGTGATGATTATTATCAAAATTACTTCAATTCTCAACCAGAGGACCAAACCCCATCGCTCAACTGCATAGACAGCATCGAGGGCACCTTCCAGTTCTCTTACGAGATCGGTGGGGGCGGGGGTGGCATCTGTAACCACAGTCAGAACGTTCTGGACGCCTGTCAGGTTCCGGGGTCACCCAACTACGACAACCTGGCCTTCTCCATGTCCTTCAAGAAGTGTCCGGCTCAGCAGAATAGTTTTAACAGGGACACCAGGTAGTAGTAGTAGTAGTAGTAGTAGTAGTAGTAGTAGTAGTAGGAGTAGTAGTAGTAGTGGTGGTGGTGGTGGTAGTGGTAGTGGTAGTGGTAGTAGTAGTAGTAGTAGTAGTAGTAGTAGTAGTAGTAGTAGTAGTAGTAGTAGTAGTAGTAATGGTAGTAGTAGTAGTAGTAGTAGTAGTAGTAGTAGTAGTAGTAGTAGTAGTAGTAGTAGTAGTAGTAGTAGTAGTAGTAGTAGTAGTAGTAGTAGTAGTAGTTGTTGTTGTTGTGATGGTGGTGGTGGTAGTAGTAGTAGTAGTAGTAGTAGTAGTAGTAGTAGTAGTAGTA